CCCGCTTCCTGCGCATCGCCGCGGGTCATTTCCGTGAGAACAGCCGAGTTTTCCCATCTATTTTCCCTGAGATTCTTCTCTATTTTTGTTCATCCTCCGCATTTTGATTCATTTTTCCTCCGAGCGGGACCACCGTGTTGCACTGTCAAGGATGCTTCTCTTTAGCAGCCGGAAGTTCGAACGCATTTTTTCCCTCCTTCCATGCCCTGGGCGCGGCCGATAGCACCAGAATCTCACGGCTCCGAACCGCTCAATCATCCAGAGAGAATTATAGAGAACAAGCGCGGCAGGGATTTCAGGTACAGGTACCGGAGTCCGGGACCAGAAAGAAACCTTCCACACTATCCGAAACATCGCTTTCTGTGACAAGCTACCCCTTACGCGTAAATAACAGTTTCGCTGCGTTGTTAGATCGACTGACTCTGTGGTCGTCAGACAACTTGGCAAACAGCGCTCCGCAGCCGCAACTAAAAACCCCCGCGTTCGAATGCCACTGAACTTGATCCCGTTGTTCGTTGTCTCCTCGTCTCGCTTCTCTTATTATTTGGCGTCTAACACAATCGGAAAATCTTGACACGAGTCCGAATCGTTCCCTCGTGCGAAAAGCTTCGATGGCGACTTCCTCGATCAGATCGCTTCATCTCCGGCATCTTGGGTCGATTTCTATACGCACAAGAGCCGAAAGCGCTGCAAAAACTTCTGATTGAGATAATTTCGTCGCTCGCGGAGAATCTACCGCAATAGTGATTTTCTGAATGGAGTTCCCCCGTCTTTCAGAATTTTCGGGATCGGCCGAGTCGAAAGCGTTCTGAATATCGCATCGCTCATATCTCAAACTTGGAATCTCATTGACAGCTATGTGGACAGAATTTTTTATCAATGGCGACCATCAGTCGCGTTCCTTGGAGCTCACAATGGGCCGCAATCACTCCGAAATCGTTTCCATCTCGCTTAGCTTCCATGATCGGCTAAATTCATTGACTTGCGGGAAAAAACAAATTACCGAGAGTCTAAAGGAGTCAGCTCAGCCGCGAACTTGCCTCCGGTCATCGCCTGAGGAACCGAAAATCGTTCCAGCGGTATGGTGGTTGACTGACGGTGGGAGATATTCCCCAGGAGGGGAGAACATCCGTGATACTCTGAATCAATGGATCGTGGAGGGAGTGCGGAGAAAGGTCTCCACGAGCAATGGACCCCAAAGCATTGCCGACAGCGGGCGGCGTCTTCACAGGCGATCAGAAAAACTCGATGTCTGCCGGTTTCTTGAAGGGCTACCAGATTTCAAACGGCTCGTGTACCTCACAAATTTCGTTCGATAAAGGAAACTTATTTTGACCTATGTTTCGAGGCGGGGCCGGATCTCTACCTGCGTCCTTCTTCGTCAGGGAGTTGAGATTCCGAGTTCGGAACTTGCGGGTTTTGGAAGGGATACTCTCGTCGACTGGAACATTGAATGTTTCAGCAAAGTCCTCAACGTTCTCTAAAACAACTACACGTTCATTCGAACATCCCCCTACGCCCGCATTAGCGCTGAGAGAGTCCGGATCGAAACACCGGAAGCCGTAGTACGTCGTACATCAAATATAATTGTATGCACCCGCCGGAGTCGAAAGTCTCGCTGCGTCTGGTACATCACCAATAGTCCACCTGCTCCCACACCTCAAGCCTTGCTCTCAACTTGAGCATTAGTGCTATCTGGGTCTAGCGATAACATTTTTCGCAGATGGGCGCATATAATCGAAGGGGGCGACGGAGACTCTCTCAATCTTCGTCTCCCAGAGATAGTGGCAGCGCGGAAATTTCATACCGAATCCACGAATACCGTATGCATGCACCGAACGATCCACCACGGCAGAGATCCCCACGTACTAGGAGAGCATTGGACAGCCGACTCCTTCGAGTATTCATTTTCTCCTCCTTCAGGAATTCTCCCCCTTCGCGGGATCGAACGAGCCTGATACGGGAAATATCCGCGACTTGTCACAAATACGCTTTCTTCCAGCGGTACTTGGTTTCTCTGACGCCCCCAGGGTCCATGAAGTCAGCTCCAGGGTTCGCATCTCGCACTACCTGTGCGATTACAATACAAAGAAGCTGTTTCACCTGACAATGAGAGGTCTCCGATCCATAAGCTGCATCGATGAACTCGGGAGAGTTCGGACGGCCGTAAGTGAATTCGGGCGTCCGAAGTGCCGCCTAAGCGCAGAAGACCTTCGGGAGTTTTTGACACGGAAGAATAGTTTCGTTGTAGTGATTTTTGACGCTTTTTCCCGCTTCGTGAAACCAGTCCCAACACTGTGACACGTTTCCTTCTCGCCGTCAACACGTTGGGGTGCAAGGTCATCTCCCAAACAGACAAGTCAAGCGATGTTTAGCTTCACTTCAAACTAGCGGATTCCGCGTTCCGGTGTATGTTTGTCATGTTACGTGCTGATTTCCTGAGCGTGGTGAGCTACATCGCATCCATGTACGTTGTCGCTCCAGTCGAGGTGAGTACTGTGGTGGACGAGCTCTCTGGATGATCTGACCAGCGCTCTAACCTTAGTTTGATCGTCTCGCCAAGGCTCACGACTACACGGTGACGATCTCGCATGGAGCCGCATCCGGGAAGTATTCACCGCGACCGGTGAAATACTCGCCCCCAAACTTCGATTCAGGATTTCATTCGCACTTTCCGAAAAGCCATCAATTGTCCCGGTGAGTGAGAACCGCAAGAATCCAATTTCCTTCACCGCTCTCCGGATGATCGATGCAAGAATTTTACGGGGAAATCGCGAACTGGGCCCCAAGTTACTCGAACACCTTTTCTGTGAATACCGGGCAAGACTTGTACCATAGGATGGAGCCGCCCGAGGTGAAGGTGAGGTTGTCTTGGCCACAATTCTCTCCGAGCGGTGTTGGCGGGAGTCTTTTATGGCTCGATGCCTTCCGGTGTCCTTGAGTCAGGACGGCGTACATCATCAATGATATACGATGCCTACGTTTCTCACATTTACCACCAAACGCTGCCACCGAGCGAGCGACCACTAAACATGATGTATTCTGCACCACAATGACTTCGGCCGTCTTTCCCTTTCTTTCTTCGTCAGGCAAGTTTCCACCCTGGTAGAGTTCACGAATCATCTCCACCACGAACCGTACACTAAGGCCACGGGCTTTGAAAAACTCGCATTCGGCTTCAAGATGAAGCCTTCCAAGGCGAACGAGCCGGGAAAAGAGTTGCGCTTCCTCGATCCCACCACAACTCCAACGAAAAGTCGCGAGAACATCGAATTCCCGAGCATCAAAGGGAGCTTCGATGAATTCATCAAGATCTCCCGTTTCCATCTACACAGTAGCCCGAAATTCGCCAACAATGCTTCTGAAGGGGAAGAGGAAAAGTTCCGTTTCGATTTCCCTTCGATTAGGACAGGCCCCACCTCACAACCCGCGGGTCGTCAATTCAATCGCGATCGACCGCTGGCTGCGGAGCATGTTTACCCGCCAATAAGTCCCGCAGATAGGGACCACCTCTATGCTACGGGTCTAATTTATCTTAAGGATCCGGATTACTACAAAACTTCGATTCAGTAGTTGCCGTCGGGGTCGCTCGTGAACATTTTACGGTTTCTGACACAAGTGTAACGGACGAGCAATCATTGCGTTATTCGAGGTGCGAAACCACCAATCGGTGCCCTTTGAGTGGAGTGTAAACTGTCCGCCCCCAGCTTTGCCGAGGTCTACTCGAGATTTTTTGTAGGAGCCTGATGATGAATCGGCGGAGCTCTGCTCGAGGGAGGCATCAAAGCTTCCAGCTTTACCTTATGGAAGCATTAGGTGAATCATCTTGGCATTGTTCCAAATAGAACAGAAGAAACTGTAGGCGAAAAAAATTCTAGTGTTATGCAGATTGTCGAGAAAATTGCAATGTTTTGAGGTATTATAAATTTGACGATGCTCTTTGCAACGAATACGCCGGCGCCAGCAGGATGGGTTCGCCAAAATGAATATTAGTTGTGATACTGTGAATTTTCATGGTGATAGTCACGCTCTGTATTCAGAAACACGTCACTTTGCGTTTCCCCATCCGGTTGTGCTCGTCGGATCAACTCTGACATCCTTTACTCTCCCCCTCATTGGACGTCTTCTCGGACATTCCACTTGAAACCAGACTAAGCGTGATCCCCAGCCGACGATGGCGCGTTTAGGCCACGGGTCTCAGTCTCAGCCCCTCAGATGCTCAGTGACCGTCCCTCGCCAAGGAGGCTGACGATACCACCGAATCACTCACTCAGATTCCCTGCTACATATTTGATTCAAGAAGAAAAAAAGTCCAAGGAAGTAGAAGGTTTCATTTCGGAGTTTTGGAGGAGTTCCAGCGCCAGCGCCATCTCTGCTTTTTGCGGTGCATGATGGCAGCCAAGGTTTCCTGAGTTCCAGAGACTGTGACAGAGTCCAGCGTTAGGAGATGTGCCCACCGCTCTATCGCCATCTTTTCCACAACTACGCTCACACTGGCAAGCCATCGTCGAAGTTGGACTCGAGGGGGCAATACTACTAGTCTTGGCACCTGAAGGAAGATATTGAGCTTCTCCGAAACAAGAACCACGGCCGAAGCGAGAAGGCCCGGCAAAACGCGAGAGGGAAGGAAGACACGGCGCCCTGACAGTTATTGCAGGGCTCTCCGGTTCATATGGAAGTCGACAAGGACATCCACTTCTTATTACTCGGCCAGCGGCGAACTGCCAGGCACTTTTAGGCATGCGGATGCTGGAAGATCATCCTCGAACGAAGCCGTGAACCCCATCAGACTTTCGAAATGTATGTGGAGGAATTTTCCGGATTGATGTGTGAACAAATCGTTCCATCGAGGCTCGCAAATGATTCAACCATATTGTGTTCCCGCTTATAATAAATTCTCTCGATGTCCCTAAATATCAGGCAAAACTCGTTGTGTGTAAATCAGAAGATACCACAATATTGCTGTTGGAGGAAGGATGTTCGTTGTTGTAATGCATGACATTGCTCGATACGCGATATGCGATCGAATTACACGATCGCCGCGACCAGGGGCAATTTATTCGTAATTGGGTAAATTATATACTCGATACGGGCTGCGGTCTCGTTTATCAATCGCAGGCTGGAAGGAAGTCCGAAAGAGAGCTTAGGAACAACTGCACTCGACCACGTCAGGGGGTTGACGTCCGAATTCCCCGCTCGACGAGATTGAGTATTTTTCTCTCTCGGACGAGACAACAACGTCTGCGGCCACGAAAACCAGCGCCCGACGGAACGAACTCCAAATATAAGAGCAGTGAATTAGATGATATGCTACTGGATATAGATCCTCTCAGGAACATCCATGCCGTTGAATCCGGTCTCCAAAACGCAGGAATAAGCGCCCAGGGAGTCGAAACTGAGCCAGTCGCCTGTTTTCATCTCCGGTAGCGAGCAACGCGCTTTGACCTGCAAGAGAAATCGCTCCTGTTTAAAATCGGGCCTTTCATATAAAGGGGAGCGGTGTCGGATCTCTGACCAGACGGCAGATCGAGACTTTCCGCGAGAGGCTCACCTTGTCCACTCCGTCACAAGTATTGCCCCAAATTGCACTGGTGACGCGCGGGCATGATGATCTCTGGAAGCGAGTTTGGTAATTATTGCAAAAACTCCCCGGATGTCTAACATAATGAATGGGTATTCATGATCTTATCGCTACCAATATAATAACGAAGGTTTGGACTTCACACTCTGGAAACCGTCTGTGGGAAAATGACAGCTCTTCTCATGGACGGGCTTACCTCTTTCAATTGCAGAGGCTCGGGACGTATGATGTCCTCGTTGAAGAAGCACATGTTGAAACTCATGTACACCGAGTCATTGATGTAATATTCGACTCTTTTGTTGGCCACAACTTCAGCCGTTCTGTGGTTTTCGGCACACTGTAGATTGCATTTGTTGGGCGCCGGGACGTCATCAATTTCATTGTTGTTCTCATCTCGACGCCAGATTCCATTATGATCCTCGTTGAAAATCTGCAATACGACACCGGCCTCAGACTCTGAGCAACAGCGAGCGTATTTCTGACCCGAAACGTAAGAATAAAGATTCTTCCCGTATTCGCGATCACCGCAAGCCTATTGCATTTTCGTGAGGGCAAAATGAAAATTACTTGAAGATTGTATGAAGCATGGAACGATCCCCTCGCGAGCATTTGATAATCTTAAAGTTCCTCGAGACGCTCTCGTGATTCAGACTGACCTTTTTCCCGATAATCCTGGAGAAGAGGGTGAAGGCCGATGCGACGAAGAACGTCCCAGGCTCAGCGATAATCTCATAAGCTCCTTTTTTCGGGAAGAGATTGTCGATCACGGTGCTGATGGCGGTGGCGAGTTCGCCGAACTCAGCCTCACAGCCCCTGTATCCGGGGAAGCCTCCGCCGATATCTAGAAGTTTCATGTCGAATCCAAGTCGCTCACCTGGAGGCGACCGGCGATATCACTTGAAATTTCCTTATGGGACGAGAGAAATAACTCCGATCTACGCAAGCATGGCAGACATCCGGAGATTTGCCGATCATCAGTACCGATAATGCGGAACGCGTGGCGTAGGATATGACTAGCCTGCCTTGGACATGAGCCGACGTAATATCTCGTTGCTTACCATAATCAAAAAGTCGACGAGCGGACTCGATCGCATTGGTGAACATCACGCACGATTTCTTCGAGCAGCCTACGTGGAAAGAGACACCAACGATGTTGAGACCCAGCTTGTGAGCTTCTTCTAAGAGATACATGGATGTCTTTTCAGTGGCTCCGAATTTTTTCGACAGCTTGAATACGCAGCCGCCGTCATCAACTTTAACTCGAGCAATCAAATTCGCTTCGGGGTAGAATTCTCGAATCTATGGAGGTCAATAGAAATTATTCAATTATTAGCCAAGTTTCTGGGAGGGAATTCTGGCAACGCATTCCGGGAACTGGATAAGAGAGTCTCCGTGATCCACATTGAGGAAGAAGCCGCGAGAAGTGAAATCAGGACTTGTCTGGAGCCCGAAACTTCTTGCCTCCATCTCGGGAAGTCCTAGCACACCCACCTTATAGAGTTCATCCAGAGAATCAAACGTCATTCTGGACACGCCGCTGCGCCGGGCGAATTGTATGTATTTGATCGTTTTGACGGGGTGAGCGTATACAATCCTGGAAGGATCCACTCCCAACGAGAGCACTTTGTTGATTTCTTGCATCGAGGCGCAGTCGAAGTTCACTCCGGATCGGGCCAGCAGGGTCAGAACCATGGGATCGTCATTACATTTAACGGCTGGAAGTTCCGAACATCATCGAATGAGAGAGAAGCACTCCCAGAAGACGTGCGCGATAGCTCAGAGGCATTCCAATGTTGAATGGGAATGAATTACCGTAAAATGGTTGGATCCGGGGACAGGACTCTTTCCAGAGATTAATTTTGTAGAGTACATTCTTCAGATCGACGATATAGAAGCCTCTAGCGTCGTTCCGCTGTTTCGAGTGCACGATTTCTCGCGCGTATTCGCGTACATCGGTCGTGCAAGAAATGCTGTCGAACGTCATTCTCCGAACGGGTAGAGTTTGTCTCCTGCCAAATAAATCTGGGAGCACGCTGAAAGGCAAAATCGTCATAAGCCCAAGGTTTTCTTGCATCACAATTTATTGTCGGATCGATTCATGCGCTGCACTTCATCAAACGAAGCGTAATTTTTGTCCTTTCACTCACGACGCGCGATTCGATTATTCTTATCCCTCGGGACAGAATGAACGCGCTCAAAGGGAAATCGATAGACACAGAAAAATACATATTACTTCAAGAATCCAACACGGCATTCGACACGTGCGACTGGAGCGCGAATCGCCGGCCGCATCATCTCTCGATCTGGAGATTGACGAATCACGGTTAGCCCACCCACCGAAGTCTCACGACGAGGTGATATTTCGCGCCGAGGAACTCCACGGTAATCCCTCGTTCATCGCAAACTCGCGACATCGCGATCTCCGAAATTCTGATTTTTTCGAGATTTTTTGTTCATCGCGCTCGGTTCGTCTTTCTAGAGACTATCGGTGGCAATTCACACACGTTCCTTGTCTTGAGAACGTACCTGCCGCGCTAGAGGGTACGAAAGCTGGGACGGTGGGAGGAAGGAACTGAGACAGTTGGAGGAAGGTACGGCTCAAAATCGCAAAGAAAAACAATGGCGCCGCTTGTGCCTGAATACGAGGATAACATATTTCTGAGTTGCTTGCGGTAACCCGGAGCAACACAGTAGCCTCGGGAATTCGAGTTTAGAATGTCGCGGGAATCCGTCTGTAGCGATAGTCCGGAACCGATGGAATGAACTTGTTGATAAGTGACGATTTCCTCGATCAACGAGGAGTTCGAATAGCGCACACTTAGGAAGTTAGGCTCCGAATTCGACTTTTCCCCATTTCACTCTGAGGAGTTTCATTCAAATGATAGAGGATAGAATCCATTCTTGATAAAGCATTGAAGTGGTGGAATGCTTCTACAGCTCCGGCGGTCTTATCGTCAGCCGGAAAACAATCACAACTGAGAACTGGAGAGATAACGCTGATAGCTGGCACTGCCCCAAGCCCCAAGGACTCTTGAAAAGATCTCAAATCCGTCAAGTTTTCAGCAGGCCTGGACGAAAAACTACGGTGGCGAAGCATGAAACGGGTGAAGACCGAATCGGGAAACCTCTATTTGCACAGGCATCGTTCAGTCGCGTCAGGCAGGCTCAAGTCGTTAAGACGAGTTTCTGCCGGCTTTCGGGTGCTTGGCTCGCGAGCCACAAGAGAAACCCATCGTGGGAACCCTCCCTGAACGCTAGGTGAATCCATCAGCGAGAGAATCAAGCGTCAGAGGAGGCAGATAACGCGGGAGCATTGGAGAGGACAGTTGTCTTCCCGAGTCGACATGGAAGGTCAAGGTTTTCCCGAGACGAGGTCCTGATGATCCAGAAGCGAGTGCTCGTCCAAGACCAGCTTGAATGGATGGCTATCGGAGAGGGGACGGTGATCAAGTCCCGTAGCACCGAGACCGTTGGGAGAGGGTGACATAATAGACTAATTGGGATGTCCTCTACTCGAGGTATCTCTCTCTCAACACTAATGTCCCAACCGGCTCTTGATTGGCCGTACAGGCGCTGACATAAAGACATACATATGTACATATCGACGCAGACCATATCCAAGCGGTACAGTCCAGCGGTATGCTCTTGGGCGGAAAGGATGCGTCGGACCTGGCGAAATTCGAGCGCGCCCAATAGTCTCCTCCCGCTCGATGTCTGGACTGATACACTGCGTAGCGGAAAAACGCGTACTGGTCTCTCGCAAAGCCCATCATGACATTCTCGCTACCGCTAAGTCGGCTCCTCGGGTACGCATGATCGGAACTGTCGAATGAGCACGTGCGAAGCAACACAGGGGTAGCTCCGGAGAGCGCATGAAGTCGATCCCGAGCATCAAGGAGAAACCGAGTCCCGAAATTTGAGGCCGTCGCGATTCGGACAAGGGGTCTCTCACGCGAAGTTCCAGGAAGTTCGGAAAGAAACTCAGAAATGTGGGCTCACACGGAGGCGGGCGATGCCAGGCAGCCGGAGCAATGCCCGGAGGCTTCCCGTGGACCTCAGATCTCCTGCTCCGTACGAACCGCTCGAGCTCCGCAGGACCGAATACATTAGGGAACCGAATACACCGGAGAACCGTATACACCGAAGAACCAAATACACCGAATGAGTCCCCATTGAGAGCGGAAAAGATTTGGAGCCGCTGGTACTCACCGTCTGCTGTCAGAAGTTTGAAGCGGAACGATCTCGTCTCGCCAGTCAGGGTCCTCTAAAACGTCCACGAGTTGACTCCGTGCAGAGTAGATGCCTCTTCCGTGGAGACCGGAGCTCTTCTGACCGTAGATGCGATGCGGTTCACCACAAAATCTGAGTCTCCATAATAATAATCCGGAGAGCGGCCCATTCACTCTTTCCGACGTCTATCCGTCGCACGCTAGCCAAGACCAGCAAGACCAATAACCAGGACCAAAAACATCGGTATGGCAGCCGAAGCCGCGCGTACGGCCGCCGTCGGAGCCACCGATGCGGTCGCCGCGGCGGCCAGCACCACTACAACAACGCTTGGCATCGGACATCCAACTCCTTACATGTCTCCTTGCTCAGAGCCCCGGGGTTTCTCCATCGAATCCATTGCGTCCTCCGGCATGTCTCCCGAAGCAACACACACATGTAGGCTTCCGATTCATCGATATCGCAGGTTGCCACTGAAGTTCCGAAACCGAGAATCGTAGCGTTGTGGTACGGAAGACGGGCCCAAGGAGGCGGCATGGGAAGGGTTCTCATCCACCCATGGCTCATCCCCACACGTTCGGTGGGGAATGGCATCTTCGAGATTACATGCGATCTCCCGAGCCGGAGTATGACGAAGAAAAAGCACGAAATAGACCCCATGGCAACGGAATGGAGCTGCTCTGAATGCTCAAGAAGATCGTGTCGCAGGCTCTCGCAAGACCGGCTGCGCGATAAGATCAATGAAGCAGTCATCGTCATAGCTTACGCGGTAAATCATCATGATTATTTTTATGATAGCAGAAAATATTATTCGGCGGGCATACATTCGCTGAGAAAAGCGTTTTTGAGCGCGTGCGAGGGGATTGTCGAACAGTCACCCCGGCGGTTTCTGATTCGTTTACCCCAAAGGCGAAGAGTCTCCTTATGACTCCGTGAACTGGTGCAATGAAATGGGGAGTTTTTGACGATTAAAAACGATCAGAGGGCGGGTTGAGCTGTATATCGGAAGTCAGGCGCATGGACATCGAGATTTCGCTGGTGAGGATAGGTAATGTGGAGTAGTGGGCGGGGGTTCGACTTCCCCTCCGAATTTCAACATCCGATAGCCTCCCGAGCGATCGGAAAGGAATTCCGAGAATCCGTCGAAGGGGAAGGGGTTCCCTCCATACGGAAGTCAGAGTGTCTCGCAGTCCACAGGTGGATACGTTAGAGTTTCTAAAGAGTCTCCGCATGAGTCCGTTGGAGAGAGATAACAACCCGAGATTCCTTCGCTGGCACGTCAATCGCGAGACTCGTCGTCTGCTTGATCCGTGTCGACACCAATCTTCGACTTTTTCAGATTCTACGAAGGGGTCGATGAATTTCGCTCATTAAAATTGACTCGGATGTCACATCTGACATGGCACAGTTCTCCTGATCGGAGTGCTTCCGTGGGCGGGAGCTCCGCTGATGGTCACCACAAGTCCTCTCGAAGACTGTGGATGAATAGGAATTTACTCGTTCGGATTCGTCGAGCAGGGCGGCTCCGACGGAGCTTATCTTCAATATTTGAAACTGAGGTTTCGATCGACCTTGGTCTGAGGAACAGGAAATACATACCTTATGTTCGTCTTTCGAACTCTCAGCGGGAGGTGACTTTGCGCTTCGCCTCGTTTTTGACGAGAAAATTCAGCAAGCCTCTGGCGCATTGACAAAGGAACGTAAGAGTCGCCCCTGTACGGATCGGAAAGCACTCTTTTCCTCCGTAATCTCTATTCGGGCAGAGCAATCTGTCGGCTTCGAATGTGTCATAAGACGTTATGAAATCCTTCACTTTCAAAGGTGGCTACTCTCCCGAACAGAATCTTTAGCCTTCTCCGCGTTGCCGTTAGATTCAACGACCTTGCTAAGATTCGCGATGACTCTCCAACATGGTCGATAATCATGTGATCGGACTCAAGTAATTCCGCTCGACGAATTACGGTTTCTGCTAGCAGTGCTTCTATGTCCTTCGGACCACTATGGCGAATCAGCAACTTTCTCTCATGCGTCTATGCTGATTCGCATTGAGAATACCGCGCTGTCACGACTCACGACATGTTCTGGACCGAAAAATTCTGGACTTCGAGACCAATGCAGAAAAATATCCGAAGAAAGCCTTGCGATCCGAATCCGAATTCAATCTACCGAGAGCAGGATATGCGGTTTTCCAACGCGAACGGCGCCTCGATTTTCGGAGCGAAATACGATTATGGTCTCCCCTCCCTCTCGAATCGAGTCGTAAAATTCAAAAAATGTTGGAGCTGAGATGGTACAGCAGGTTTTCCGTCATTTTCCCACTGGACCCGCTCAGTTCCCATTGCCCACGTATGTGTGGAAGTGCGCAGTGGGATTTCACATTCATTCTATTGTCATATTGGCCGAGTTCGATTGCCCAGCCAGGGCAATTGCTTCACACCATACCCGGTAATTTTGACGATTTCGGCAAAAAGTGGAAGACAACATCTGAGCCATCGGAGATGACGATCTATGCTCTTGCTTGCATATTCCACGTTCGAAGTTTACGAGTTGATTCGCGGAAAAGTCACCCGCGTTCTGGTGCGCGTACATCCGCACTTCTCGTTGGGTTTCCCAGTCGATGGAGTTCGGCGGTATTGATATCGAAAAAATGGTTTGACGTCATGAGGACCGGGTTCTTCGAATCCTCCTCCGCTGTGACAGATTCATCGTCTCCGGATCGTAAACACGGAGCAAACAGCTTCGCGTGACGAGCAGCTCTGGTACGATGATCCAAGATTCTTCTACGATGGATCGGAGTATGTAGCAATATTTCTCGAAGTTTTCCATGACCACGAGCAGGTCGTGCGGAATGGACCAAAATCGAACGCGGTTGGGTTCGGACATTTCCCTGGAAGGGATTGTCTCATGTAACCTCCATGAGCGTCTGATCGATCGTCCGCTTTGGGTATGGAAAAAAACACGAGAGCCTCCGATTCGGCTTTCCGACGGAACCTGAGTTTTTCTCCGGGAGGAGTCAGGTGGATGCGGAAACTAAGGTAAATTCATATTTGAGATTCTATCGGATCGGGTCACCTGTCACCTGTCCTGTCCTGTGTGTGTCTTAGACGATGCCCTGCCGATCATATGCTCCCGTCATTCCGATAGAAATCCAAGGGTGCGATGCCCGACGGACATTTCCTCTGACCCAAAAAGCAATAATCATCCTCGCGCCAGCATCGAGGAGAACCTCCTCGCCATAGGTCTGCAATGGAAGATTTCCGATCGATGCGGAGAATTCTCACGCAAGTTCGAGCGGACCGAACTGACATAACAGAAGAATCGAATGCGCATCGATGTGAAACCTGAACAGGCACCGAAGAGCCCTAGAATAGGAGGGGGGAGCAGGGGCGAACATTCGCGATAATTCTCGATGCGGTCGATTCTTCGATGACAGTCGATCTTCGCTTCGACTTCGAGACCTCCTCCCAGGCTGATCCACGGCCTCTGGCCACCCAGACAGCCACGCAGTTGTCAGCACTCAGATCACTGATGACATGATGACATGATTTGGCATTGGAGGCGTTACACTGCAGCGTATTTGGTGCACCCCTTGTTCGTCGGCCCTATACCATGCCGTTCACGAAAAGGCCACTGCGAGCGTTTGCCCGGGCATGCAGTACGGTGTTCGCTTAGACGAGGTATTCTGTATCTTTGTCCACCGTTCAGTGGTCAGTTGTGCGTGTTCTGTCCGAGCTTTCTGGAGCTACATCAAAGCTACTTATCCGTCGATAAGCTGTTTCCGGTCGCGCAAAAACAAAAGCCGGAATGAATCCTGGTTCGCTGGAGGTCATTCCTGTCGTCACAGCTAATTCGACACTCAAATCGTCGTCAAATAATCTGTTCGACTGATAAGCGACTTATTGACAAGAAGACAGGGAAAACATAGACTGCATGTCTGTCTGATTGACTTTCATACCTGATCTTGGTGCCTCGAACGAGGATTCGGCGGAAGTCTGACGGGATCGGGATCAGACTTCTTGCTAGGAGAACGGATTGAGCCACTTCGTTCATCGAAGGATCATGAGGATTTTTGGAATACATGGCTCACATTTCCGAATTGCACCGGCTTCTGGTTGCTTTTCCAAGGGAGACCAATCGGAAGGAGTGGTCGATGAGTCAATCAATCATTTAAAATACGAGTGAATAGCTGACGGAATTCTGTTTGAGAGAACTGGAACGAATTCCGACGATCGGAGCCCGAACGCTGGCTTGTGCTGTATGATTGAGAATATTTGCCCTGTCAAGTCCTAGAATATGATGCGATGACCTGATGCTCCCCACACTAACCTCGAATAGCCCAAGAATCTAAAGCAATTTGGATCCGCAACCTGATATCGACGCGTGAATCTAGGTACGGTCCCGAAGACCGGGGACAGAGCTTGCATTCTTCGAGGCTCCATTCGGGACTGAGATCACGAATAACGAAAACTGAAGCTGAGGCGGCCGCAACTCATCACTCAATTCGGGAGCTGGTGTCGAGGGGCTCACTCAATCAAATAATTTGTCCACCTCATCCGCTGGTGCTGGTCCGCCAAACCTGTTATACAGCTAATTATGTAACAGAAGATTAACAATCATTCCGAGTGGATGACCTTCGACGAACGTAATCGCAATTGCGGCTTATCCTCTCCCGTGTTTTTCGTCTGACCGCGCACCTCGTCACAAGTCGTTCCTCAAAGAATCGACGGCTGGGGCGGAGGCGGTCGACCTGGTCTATACTTATGGCGGCCGGAATACAGAATCCGATGGCGAGGCGCACGTCACTGACGACATCATATTGCGTCACTGCCCCACAGATAGTTTCGCTTGGCGGAAGCAAGATTCCGCTTATCGTTCCCGATCCTCCAGCAGTCCTGCGAGCATCTGTCGCTGTGTGACGGGGGAATCCCCTTCAGTCGTGATTCTCGACAGAGGGAGGCGGATCAAACTTCAAGCGACAGAATGCGTCGACGACATCGCGGAGATATAGGTCGCATGACGCCACCAAAAATATTCCCGACGAACGAATCGATAAGTACTCCACCTCCGCCAGGCTCTCGGTTCCATGATGGG